TGGGCATTGTGAGCCAGGACCTGGGAGTTGGCCTTCAGAATGTGGTTCAGCACATGGAGGCAGTAAGCACTACGAACGTGTGGGCCCTGGCTCAGAGGACAAACTTCTGGGTAATACAAGTCCTTGTAGGAGCCCATAAGGGCCAGCAACTCCAGCTGGACTGGGCTGATTTTCTCAGCCACTCCCTTAGGGTTGGAGGTCTGGTTTAGATCCTTCCAGTGAGCGTCCAAGAGCTTGTGGAAAACTGGGAGGTTTGTCTCTTTCTGTGGGCTGACAGTACCAAACTTCTCCAGGGGACTGGTGCAGAGCAAAGTTCCCATTTTTGGCCACTAAGTAAGAAAATGGCAAAAGCAGAAACTGCAGTTACAATTTATTTTAATGTAAAAAAACAAAAAAAACAAAGGCTTGATGTAAGACTTCATCGACTGGTGTGTTTTCTACCATGATCTGAGTCTTGGATTTGCTGCCAGATGTTATCGTCTGCACATCCTCTTCACCAAGCTCTGTGTTCAAATGTTGTAAAAACATGTCTGCATGTAGAGAAGAAGAAAAGTAAAACACACTGTAGTCACCTTATATTCTAACCTTTCAATTCAGCATGCAGCACACAAAATGCTTCTTTTAAGGTACTAAACAAAGTAATCAGGGTGTTAAATTTAACAACTCCAATAGAAAACTTTTATTATGAAGAGAAAACCTCACTCCTTTCTCACCCTTGCTGTCTTCATGCTCAGCAGTGTTCTTAATATCCTCTTGCTTATCCTTCATCAAACAGAACTGGGACTCGTGCTCCTTGTCTATAAACTCTTCATCTCCTGCCTCCTGCTTTGCCTCCCCCTCCACTGCTTCAGTCAGAGGCTCATCTCCATCCTCAGGTTCCTCCTCTGCATCTTCATCACCATCCTCACTGTCATCCCCAACTCCATCACTGTTCCCTGTGATAGAAAGAACAATAGTATTGAGTTTACTGTAATATACTGACCTATACTGTCATTGGGGTGTTGGAAATAAACAACTCACCTTCATCAAAAAGTTCCATTTCTTCTTCTTCATTGTCACTGCTTTCCTCCTCTTCACTCAGGTCACTGCTGGTAGGACGGCTAAGAGTTGAAAGAAGTTTCTGATAGGCAGTCTTTTGCTCTGGTTCCTCCTGGTCTTCCTCCAGTTCATCAGGCTCAGGATCGGATTGTTCTGGGCTCGCTGGCTGTCACACGTGAGGACAGAACACGTTTCATTTTATAATATTACAACAGTCACATGATGGTCCAAAAATGTCCATTGCATAAAGTCCTTGTTACTGGAAACAAAGACATTTCTACTACTTTGTAAAATCTTATAGCAATAATGAATCTTATTGTTTATAAAATGGAACATAAACAGTAGCTGAATTATCAAAGTGTTCAATGCTACTCACCAGTTCCACTATTTTAGTTCTTTCACATCTTTCACTGACACTGTGGAAAAAATATAAAGGGACAAGTGACTAAACAAAACTGAACAAAACTCCTGACCCACTGTTGGATTTCCTTAAATTATAACAATGCCCGTGTGTTTGGTATATTAGTCAGGTGTTAGCGGCTATCCATGTGTAAGATACACATTTCAAGTTTAACAGAGAATACAAAGCAGGGAGGTCTAAGTATCTACGTATCAAATTTGCCTCAACAATGGTAACGTTAGACAACCCAACGTTACTTAAGTGTTGGCACTGCATGCGTGTGTAAGTTTCTAAATGTGCAAGTCAAATTCTGGCTTATGCTGCCGATATTCGTGCACGCCCTCAGGTAGCATACTAACACTATTACCAATGAATAGGCGACCGCCTACAATAAATAATCTCCCTGAGCAAACATTAGCTATGGAACTATTGGATTTTGACGTGTCTACTTCAATAAGCAACCTTCTCATTTGTGTGGTAACATTATATTATTTACATGCACTAAAGTCTTATAACTTTAGTTAACATTATCAACTGCGACTGGTGCGCTTTCTGAATGTAACTTAGCTAGGTGGCTAACACTGAATGTAACTTAGCTAGGTGGCTAACACTGAATTTAACTTAGCTAGGTGGCTAACAAAAAGCAACTCCATTATTCTGACAGGCCTGAGTCTCCTGTGCTGCTTACATATCATGGAACGGGTGCTCCTCACCAAACTCTTTCAAGTGTTTCTTCTGTTTTTTAGACAAACCGGCGAAAATTTGTTTACCCGGTCTTCTTTTACCCATGTTGACCAGGAACGTCACCACGTGTGTTTCTCCAGCTTCGCCGCTGGTTCTTGTGTGTCAGTAACGGCATCTTATCGCCACCTACAGAACCGGAGGAGAAGTACACACTCACTTTTTGGATTTAGGCTGAGAATAACATTTGAACCCACACACTCTAGGAGGAAAGCATATACATTTTGCAGTGACATGTACTATTAGTTTTAGAGTAGTAAGATTTTTAAAAACACTTAGACTATTGTAAGTTTCTGGAAATATTTGCTTGATCACTACATTCTGTCACAATAAACACATTGTTAAAATAAATAGAATACTTTTAAACTCAATCATAACTTAGAGAACCACAACTTAAAGATAAATACAGGCACATACCACATACAACATTTGTGGACATCCCATTGCTTGTGTGCTGAATAGCCTATTAGTATCGCGCACAGCATAAACATACTTATTCACAAATCCCTCTGTAAATTTGCCATAAAAATAGGCTTTCATGCTAAGAAAGAACCTTTACCTTCTACACAAAGCAGAACATCTGCTTTGTGTTTGCTGTGATACAAAGCAAGTCCAAGAATTTGTTGGTTTGTGGGTGCCCCAGGCAGAGAATCTGCAACAGCAGCAGGGTGACACAATAAAGAGGACAATAATGAAGGATGAAGCAAAAGTCAGGTTGTAGTACAATGAGGGTAAATGTTCAGTCAAACCTAGCTCAGCAGAGCATATTTTCAGGGTCTGTCTCTTAATTCGACACTATTATATCTGTTGTGTAAAAACTAACCTCGATCAATTATTGAACTTGGTAATATCATGTTACTGTTTGCCTGTTTTAGTCGTTACCATAGCAGTAGCTCATTTATTATTAACCATTTGGGTATCTAGTTTTTGTACTCAGGATAATTTCAGCTCATTTTGACACATCAATGAGGATATTATTGTTTGATAATTGCATATTACTACGTCTTAGGTTGAAAGAGTACATCTGGCATTTCTGAATGGGATGTGAAACATGTGAGGCATTCTTGTATTTCAATGGAGAGGCCAAAAATGAAACAGGAGAAAGAAATGGTTGGGAAAACCGTTAGGTTTAGAGTAGCATCTGCCAACAGCGGCCGGGTCTTGGCGGAGGTCTTCAAGGATGAAGCGGGCTGGTGCGACTCAGTGGCAGACTCAGCAGACTCTGACTGCACCAGCAGCCCAGAGGCAGAGCATTGGAGCTCACCGCCCACCAGTAAGGCCAACAGTCACCTAAATGGTCTGGTAGTGGAAACTGCTGTGGATGAGAACGGCTGCGAACCTGATGACCTGCTTTTGTATGCCAGTGTCAAGAAAGAGATGCTCTTCAGTAATAAACGGATCAATATCTGCAGCAAGAATGGGACCATACGAGGAGTGAGAAACAAAGTGAGCGCAGGTCAAGTGCTTTTCAACCACCTCTCCAACACTTATTGTGTAAGTAGCTGGTGGAATAGGTTGACTCTTCTGTAACTGTTTGCCACTAAACAATGAAAGGCCTCATCTTCATGCATGTGTCTGTCTGAATTTAAAATTATGATCCAATAAAGAATACTGATCTTGCTTGTTCAGTTATATATTGTATTCTCTTTTCCTTTAAGAGTTCCCATCGTCATCAGAAAAGGAGACCCTGGGAAAAGGAGTAACTTCTTTTGAAGCTTGTGTTCAGCACAGTGAAGTCAACAGGCAGGAGTACTCCTGTGGTTGAAGATTGCCTTGCAGTTTCACGTACACCAGGACTTCTCACTTAATTTACAAGTATTTGGCTAAAACCAAACTCTTTACCGTCTTCTTTTATTAATCCTGTTACTTTATAAGGACTACTGCTCTAATGAATAATAATTCTGTGATTCAGATTTGTCACCATGATCTAAGTTAATCATGTGTAACTCATGTTGCTGTAAACACATTATACTGTCAGTATCTTTACATATCCATCTCTACATATTCACACACTTATAAACACTTGAAACTACTTATATGTGAACAATTTCTAAACGTTTAAACATCAACAAAACAGCTTATTAAATGTACCCATAGTTACATATACACAGTACTGCTAACCTGCACATATACAGTAACTTAAACAACTAAACAAAGTAACCAAACTTTAGGCTAATGAATGGGTTTATGAAAAAGATGTATGTATTTTTTTAGAAACTGTAAGTACAGTTGTGGTCCAGAATTTCATAAGATTTTGATATTGGTGAAGTTCTACAGCATACAGCTGAATTATGTGAATATGCATGTTTTTGTAAGCATTTTTTGACACTTTCATACAAGATTCATATTATTCCTAACTCATAATTCCACTGTAGCTTTATAAACCATCCTTTGTTTAGCCTATAGATATATACTTCCTTGACATTGCTCAATGGAAAATACCTTATTGTATATGTATGTCATTTTTAATTCTGAGCATCTTTTCTTCACTCTCTGATGGTTCTGTCGAGTCAAAGACTGCAGTCCACAGATCAGAGGTCGCAATGATTCACATAACATGCAAGATTTTTCCATGACTGAAAGTGCTCATTCCCACCTTATAACACAGCACTTCATACCAAATATGAAAAGTGATGCTTTTGACTGGAACCATTTAGATAATGGTGTTTGGAACACTTTCTGTCACTTATGTGTATTTTATTTTAAGCTGGAAGTGCATCATTGCTACCCAGATGATATTCAGTTATATTTACCTATGAATCCAAATGAATCAGATCAGTTGGTCAAACTTCAAGCATGTGTTAAAGACCAAGGCTTGGATGACCTGTAATTTAATGTCGACAAAAGCAGAGCAACTATAAAAGTTATTGTATTTGAATCAAGAAACCTCAGAAATATGATATCTAAGCATATAGTTACTCTAGATGACATAGCCCTTGCCTCCAGTACTGATATGAGAAGCCTTGGAGTCATTTTTGACCAGGATATGTCCTTTAAATCACACATAAACCAAGTCTCTAGAACTGCCTTCTTTCACTTTAGCAATATTGCCAAAATCTGAAGCAGTGATATGATGCTGAAAAACTGGTCCATGCATTTGTTACCTCCAGGCTGGACTACTGTAACTCTTTACTATCAGGATGTCCCAATAATTCCCTAAAAAGCCTCCAGTTAATCCAAAATGCTGCAGCCAGAGTACTGACAGGAACTGGCAAGAGAGATCATATCTCTCCTATATTAGCTTCTCTCCACTAGCTCCCTGTAAAATCCACCAGGAGCCGGGGTCTGTCTGAGGTTTCTTCTATTAAAGGGAGTTTTTCCTCCCCACTGTTGCCATGTGCTTGCTCAAGGGGGATTTGTTGGGTTTTTCCTCTATAACAATAACAGTAAGATCTACACCTTACTTTGTAGAGTGTCCTGAGACAACTTTTGTTGTAATTTGGCACTATATAAATAAAACTGAATTCAATCAAATTAAAGTAATTTATTCACTTCATTCAAGCCCAAAGACATTGCAAAGTGAGCTAAGATATGTCATGTTATTTTGTGTCAACAACAAAGAGCTCCATTAAAAAAACAAAACAAACAAAAGCCTAAGATAAAAAATGCAAAGATAGCCTGGATTATTCAGAATTATGAAGGTTGAATTCACTAGAAACGTTTCACTGACCTGAGGACACAAAGTTAGAATTTGTTGATAATGAATCATTACTGTTTCAATAATATATAGCCTGTTCAAATTTACTCAAATAGTGCACTTAAGTACATATTTGAGGAAGGCTACTTGTAATTTACACACACACACACACATATATATATATATATATATATATATATATATATATACAGTGTGTGTGTGTCAGTGGGCGTGTACACTGTATCTATCTATCTAGATAGATAGATAGATAGATTCCTTATCTATCTATCTATCTATCTATCTATCTATCTATCTAGATAGATAGATAGATAGATAGATAGATAGATAGATAGAAAAACAAGAGTCATGCCGGCTCAGACATTGCCTGGGTCAACAAGGTCCACATCAGGTGTTGAGGAACCAGGGCAACCTGATGAGAAGTGGGCTACTGGAACAAGACATTCATGGACAAGAGAGGAGAACAGGGAACTATTGGAAGGCTACTATACAAGTAACCCCAGCGAGAGGGGTTACATATGGAGGATGCGGGACCTATGATACTTTGAAACCCAACATCTACACTAACATCGAAACAACTAGTAGCTCAATGCTCTAACATCCACAAGAAGCACCTGCTATCACAACTAGACACTGACGAGGTACAACACGAATGCTCCAGCAAGGGGGAGCTGGGACAACAAGTCAGGGGGGAGATATCATCATCATCATCATCATCATCAGCCCCACAATCAGAGATTGGGTACCAAGCCCCAATAACAGGCCCAAATGAGCTTACTGCAAGAGCTCATCTTACAGTAAGCAAGACCTGAGATTTGAAGATCACGACCAAGATGGACACCTGGAACCTTCGTGGCCGGTTACCAAGACTAAGTGAAGTGTCTTCTGAAAGTGGGTGTGAATGCAGCACTATGAACAATCCTTATATATACAGTATATATATATTCCTTATTCTTCTACTTGAGGAAATGATACTCTTTACTCTGTTAGGTATTTTTAGTCAGATAGATATTGGATAGATACTTTATGTATTAGAAATGTTTAGTGGAGATAGGATGTCTAGTTAGACTGTTAAATGCTTAGTCATGCTTATGAGTTTCTACAGGGTACATCTGGTCAAGGATAACTAGAGAGAAGAGTTGATGACTGTCAGCAGACAGGGTGTTTAATATTATTATGATGACGTGTAGAACTGTAGCCTTAGCCATAATATGTTCTTATGTTTAAGTCACGACATGTTACTAGAGGTCGTGAGAATGTTTTTAGCTACACACCACTTAATCAACAGACACACACATGCACATTGATTTGCTTCATGTTTTGACTACTGCTATGACCAGCTGCAAAGCTGGTAACAGAGACGTCTCGGTTGACGTTTCTGTGTAGTATGGGGCTAGCCCAACCGAGGGGATATAATGTATAGGCCTGGTGGGTTCAGGGTCTTTCATCTTACATCTGCCTGCGTGCAGTTTGGAGGTGCAAGATACCTGAGCGTGTAATGTTAATTTTACCTGTGATCCTTTGAATAAATCAGCACTGTTTTGTAGTTACTTGGACTGTCTCGTCTCTCAGAGTTAGCAATGGTAAAAAGTACCGGGTACAACAACTCCATTATCTGAAAGATTTGGATTTTTCGTTTTTACAAATGATGTTTATAGTTTAAACAGTATGAATCAGTTAAAATTGGCCCCACTTTCAGCAGCTATTCACGTTCTGCTTAAACATTATTACATCACTTAGGTTATATTAATCTAACAATATAACAATAATATAGGGGCCATTTTTCTCCCTAACAAGTACTTTTGCTAAACAATATTTACTAGCGAATCTGATTAACTGTTTGGTTTGCAGTGAAAATGTTGACAGTAAAGAGCCCAGGGTCACATCCTTAGATGTCTTGTTTTGTCCTGCCAACAGTCAAGTCCAGCTGTTACCCATTATAATATAAACTATTGTATAAAAGCATAAATCAAGACTGGATCACAATTAACCGGACTTTGGAAATATTTGGAAATGTTTTTGCTTTAAAATTTCCACCCTAATCTAAACATAAAATTTCTCTATAGTGGAACAACTTTTAAGACACTAGTGATTTCATTAGAATAAGCTCACACTTTAATAACATTTCTTTATACCGCTAACAAACATTCAGTTGTTAGCATAAATCTCTTAACCTAACTTCCAGAAGAGCCACTTGTTCAACGATTCAAATGTTGACGCTGGGATCTCCAGGTTAGAAAAACTCTGGCTGTATAGACCCTTTACTGGCCCTGGGACTGAAGACGAACACTCAGTAAATGACAGATCACACTTCGTACACCTGCCTCGGTCAGCACCATGTCAGCCCTCCGTAGACCTCTACCAGTACCATCCCCTCCTTCACACGTCGGTAGGCTACATACAGACAACAGACCCATTTTATAATGACGAGGAGCTAATACAGAATTATGTACGATCATGTTACTGCTGCACCGACAGCTGAACGGCAGAATGCGGGCTTCCCTAAAGACACACCACCGCCTTTCGTTTTCCATCCACCGGAACGATGACTTATTATGGTGTTTCACCGACCAACACGCCTCCGTCGACTCGCCTCTGCCTTCTCTTTGGATGGACTGCTCTAAATGATAGCAGGTGTGACAAGTAGCTCGCCTTGGCTGCGGGAAGCTGCAAAGCAAGGTAGCGCCTCTTCCTGCTCCACGCCCTGTGATTGTTATCAGTAGCTGCCCAGCACCATGTCCCCTCCGGTATCAGCAGCGACAGCGAGTGAAAGCAGTACCACCACTGTTTTCGAGGAGGACACCAGAGAGGAGGTATCATTTTCTGGCATCCCTTGCAGTTAGAGCACGCCTTTTGTTATGATCTCTTTCTTAGATTTTGTCGCAGGGGTATCATGAATCCATGTAGCACAGTGCAGGTGAATTATTTGCCTGGGATTTGGTCTTACGGGAAATTTTCCTTAATTACAGTTTGACGTGGGACCATTTCTATCTTGTAGCCTGCATCAGTAATTTTACGATAAATTGCAGCTAGACGTGATTGGAAATCATCCAGCCAGCATTTCTGCTTGTCTTTTATCTGTCATTTGCTGCAGTTGGCCCATAGCTCTGATTTCATCTTAATAACCTGACAACTATTCAGCAGAGCTATAAGGCATCATGAAAGGACAGAGATGAGAGAACTTAATTATTATCCTCTGCTTTCAGGCCCACTGACCATGACCCATTCAACATTTTTAGTCCGGGTCAGTTAAAAATCGATTATGCTAAATATGTTGAAGTCCAACAAGCAAAATGATAATTGATTAAGAAGGCGATGGATGTTATATCAGCTTTCATCTCTGACTCTTTTGTTTTGTTTGTGCCTTTATTCAACAGCAAAGACCCCTGAAACAGTCACTGAGCAAGTCCTTATGTCGGGAGAGCTTCTGGAAATGCCTGCTCCTATCTGTTCTCATGTATGGCTGCATGGGAGTGATGGTTTGGTGTCATGTCACCAAGGTGACCCGCCTCACCTTTGACAGTGCCTTCAAAGGGAAATCCATGATTTACCATGACAGCCCCTGCTCTGATGGCTATATCTACATCCCTCTGGCCCTACTGGGCATGCTCTATTTAGTCTATCTTGTGGAATGCTGGCATTGTCATGTGAAGAATGAGCTACAGCACAAAGTGGATGCGGAGGGGATTTATGAGCTCATCCCGCGGATGCAGCACGCTAAACCATGCATCTGGTGGAAGGCCATAAGCTACCATTATGTACGCCGAACTCGACAAGTCACACGCTACCGTAATGGAGATCCTTACACCAGTACTCAAGTGTACCATGAACGTGTCAACACCCATGTGGCAGAAGCTGAATTTGACTACAGTCCCTGTGGTGTGAAAGATATATCAAAACAGCTGCTGGGCTTGGAGAAGTCTGCCCTTACCAAGATGCGGTTCACCAAGTGCTTTAGTTTTTCCAACGTTGAGTCAGAGAATTCCTACCTTACACAACGAGCAAGGTTTTTCACTGACAATGAGGGCCTTGATGACTATATGGAAGCCAGGGAAGGCATGCACCTGAAGAACATTGACCTGAAGGAGTATGTCCTGGTGCTGTCTGACCCAGAGCACCATCCCTGGTATCTGTCCCACTCTATCTTCTGGCTTGCCTCATTCCTCACTTTCTCCTGGCCTCTCAGAGTCTTCACAGAGTATCGTACTGCATATGTCCACTATCGTGTAGAGAAGCTCTTTGGGCAGGATTATCTCCAGGTGACCCCATGTGATGATCGGCCATATTGGCGTCGTATCCCTCGTGTTAACACCATTGACAGTACAGAACTGGAATGGCACATTCGCTCCAATCAGCAGGTAGTGCCCAGTTACTCGGAGGCTGGCCTGATGGACCTGGCCCAGTGCTCGCCCAGCTTCAGTGGGATTCGTCAGAATTGTGAGTGTTGCCACAGAGCCATCAGTTGCTCCTCGGTGTTCTCCAGGAGCGCCCTCAGCATCTGTACTGGAGCCAGCTCCCGTATCCCCTTCAGTGGCAGCCGGTTCTCCCTGGCATGGCGCTACGGTTCCCAGCGCAGCTGCTTCTGGAGGAGTGGCAGCTTTGGTGACCAGGAAAGCCCCAGTGAAAACACCCGCTGTCTGTCAGAGCGTCTCACCACAGATGATGAGGAACCCCCAGACTATGAGGATGCACTCTGCTACCCAGTGCTTATTGTCCACTGCAGTGAGAACTGTCAAAACCACAGGTCATTCCACAGAAATGGCTCCTGTGTGGAGACTTCCTTATGACTATGCAGTCATTGACAAAGAAGCATTTGCTTTTCTGTAGCATACAAACACTTTGGACATCAGAAATTGAGTGTACAAACAAGTCATAATGTGTGATACTCAGATTCATGCTGTATTGTCATACTAGCTAAAACAAATGCCTGAATGTGTGACTCACCAAAGCAATAACAGTGATTAGTGTGTGCAGAAAAACATGACAGTGTTATGTGAGCCTAGTGTAACACACAAACAGAAAACTTATTTCTGCTTGGCTTCCAGTGACAACAAGGCAGACAAAGACTGTTACAGTACACTGTATATCACTGCCATAGCTTTTAAGACCTCATATTTACAGGGCATATGAAACAAAATCTGAATCTGCAGTTACCTCATAAGACCTCATGGACCAGATGAACAGGTTAAAACATCACATTCTCTCAGTGGAATCGCAGCAACATACATCCTCCTTTTATTTCAGCAATAACTACAAGTAACACCATCTTCTTGAGTGAAAATATAAAAGGAGGAGTATCGGTCAAATGTTATGCTTATGCATATCACAAAAAACTGGTTATAGTGGAAACCTACAAATGAACTCTTTGATACTCATCTGTGATGTTTGAAAACTTTCATCGTTTATGTTGTGATGAACTGCTGTTTTTGGTGTACTGACCTTTGCTTTTTATTCAACATGCCTCAGCTATAGTACAGCTAGTGACTTTTACATTTCCCAGAATGCCTTTTGACAACTGCAGATAACAGGTATAAGCTTATTTCCAACTGCAGGTTTTCTGTGTTGATGGAAAGGAACATAAAGATAGTAAAAAGAGAGAGCTGTTCTGAGCGAGAGACTTGCAGTAAGACTTCTGTTAAGGCTACTATGGGATGGAGAATTTATTAGCCTATAAAAGATATACTTTTGTTCATGGATTTTTTTTTCATTGGATTGGTTGGTGCTATATGGCAGCTCCAGAGAGGAATGTCAGTTTCTTTTGGATGTTGACGGTCTAAAACCTAAAGATGATGTCTACAGTTGATATTTTAGAAAAATAGTGTTCTACAAACATGATGAGACATGATCATGTTTTGGGTATCTGCAACAAAATAAACAAAAACAGAATCAGAGCAGCATTAAACAGTAGGTTTTAGGGTGGATTTTGACATCTGACAATTTGTCTTGATTGACCCAGAAACGGAGCATTTCAGAGCACTAGCTCTGTCAAGTCATGTGAACCTTTAATTGGACCAACTGAAACACATTATGAAAAACCAATCTTCCACACTGACTTAAGCTAGTACATGCCTACTGTCATAAAAAACCTGCTGGCAGCTGTGGTACAAACACATCAATATGTCATTACATTAATCTCATGGTCAGAAAATATAGTTTAAATGTACAGTATGACATCTGAACAGGGGGATGCCACATCAGTCACATCTTTCAACAATCAGGCTGTGTGTATTCAGCAGCATAAAGATTATGAATGAGTAAAAAACAAAACATTCCTGAATGTAAACCACCAGCACATAAGATTTTATAGTATATGTCCATTGTGTGTTGATAGTAAATGAATAATGCTCCATTTTTAATATTTAAAACAGCGATTTCACTATCCAGTGTATACTGATTGTGGTCAGTGTCAAAAGAGCACCACACACACCAACATGCCACCATGTTTTCTAAGGAGACACTGGATGATGACACTTGATTTATCTGGAGAACACCTATTATAGAATCCAGTTTACAGGTAGAATATGCAAGGATATAAATGCACTTACATTTACACACCAACATTGTACAAACATTTTAATACTGACTTTTTTTAAAGCATCAAACAGGAACCTGCTATATACATCCTAGCAAATAACATCTTGTTCTCACATTTTCAAATGTAGTCACAGCAGTATTATGCACTTGAAGTGACATTATAGACATGTATTGTAGTGAAGCTGAATGTTGATGTAAATTCTCTTAAAGTATTCAAGCTGATATATTACAGCTACACAGCTAATCAGACATAAACTAATACCAGACCACTTAAAGTGTCATGTAAACTGTTCTTGTTGTAATAAAATGGGCTGTAGGAATAACTTGATTACCTTTTAACTAAATGTGTATTCAAATTTATCTAATGCTGGATAAAATAAAAGTTGCAATAAATGTCTGGGGCAAACCCATGTATATTTAAAATATGGTGCTGGCTTGGATTCTCAAACTTGTTGGGAAAATCTAGGTGGGGCCAGAAGTGTGTGTACTGGAGGAGCTGATACATGGAACCTAAGACATACAATCACAGTGGGAACAGGATGGTGTAAATAATAACTCAGTGATGGCTGCTTCACTTTCAGGGTCCTGGTATTGTGCATCGTGGCTCACCTTCACACTGTCATGGCTACTGGCCCAGGACACCCGAGAAGAGCAGAGCCATCATCAATATTATTAGCAACACCTCTGCTTTTCTCACTATGAGTCAAAATGTCTGCTGTGAAAAATGCCTATTAGAACTTTTTCCTTTCTTGTTAATTACACTGTTACCTTAAAAACCTAAAACAAAATAAACAAAAAAAAAAAAACCCACATGGTTGATAAATATCTGAATCAGCTTTAATTCTGAAGTATGTCAAGCATATAAGGGATTTGTGTCCAGCACAGAGGCTCTTGGTGTGTTTTAGGCTACAGACAGTAGACGACAACAAACAATAGAAAAGTGCAAATAAAAGGCAGGGGAAGCATGGGAGAAAGAGGAGAGACAGTATTTATAAACAATATATACATACAGTATATACACATTTTGAGCTATCAGACTGGTGCATGTAGCTGTACTATTTACAATTATTGCACTTTATTGGTTGCCGAATCCTGTTGCTTTGGTCATGGGTTAAGTGTTCCTCACAGTGATGGTCCAGAGGAACTGTCCTTATGTCTGGTTGTTTTGGCGTACAGTGACCTGTAGCACCATCCAGAGGGGAGGAGTTCAGACAGTTTGTGTCCAGGGTGTGAGGGATCTGCAGAAATCTTTTCTGCCCTTCTTCTGACCCGTGAGGTGTACAGGTCCTCCATGGAGAGCAGGCTGGCACTGATGATTTTTTCTGGAGTCCTGACTGTTCACTGGAGTCTGTTCCTGTCTGGTTTGGTTGCTGAGTCAAAACAGATGAGCAGAGAACGAACTCGGTGATCCCTCTGTACAACTGTATCAGCAGCTCCTGGGGCAGGTCGAACTTCCTGAGCTGGTACAGGAAGTATATCCTCTGCTGTGCCTTCTTGATGATGGTGCTGATGTTGGACGACCACTTCAGGTCCTGGGAGATAGTGGAGCCCAGGAACTTGCAGGACTTTACTGCTGATACAGTACTGCTGAGGGGGGGCTCTTCCTAAAGTCCACTGTCATCTCCACTGTTTTGAGCGTGTTCAGCTCCAGGGTGGTGCAACCACACCAGAGGACCAGCTGTTCAACCTCAAGTCTGTAGGCCAACTTGTCACCATCTTGCATTAGACCAATGACTGTTGTGTCATCTGCAAACGTTAGGAGTTTAACAGAGGGGTCCTCTGAGGTGCAGCTGTTTGTGAAAAGAGCAGTGGAGAGAGCACAGATCCCTGTGGGTCTGCCTGTGCTGATAGTCCGGGTGCTGGGTGTGGTTTTCCCCAGCTTCACCTGCTGCTTCCTGTCTGTCAGAAAGCAGGGGATCCACTGACAGCTAAGGGCAGGCACAATGAGCTGGGTCCAGCAGGAGAGCTACCATGTCCTTCAGATGGGCCAACATCAGTCTCTCAAAGGACTTCATAACTACAGATGTCAGGGCGACAGGTCTGTAGTCACTTGGTCAACTGATGGAGGTTTTCTTGGGGACTGGGATGAAAGTGGAGCATTTGAAGCAGGAGGGGACTTCAAACAGCTCCAGTGATCTGTTGAAGATAAGTGTGAAGATAGGGGCTAGCAGCACAGGTTTTCAGGCAGGAGGGGTCACACCGTCTGGGCCTGGTGCCTTTCTGGTCTTTTGTTTTTTTTTAGAAAGGCCATGCACATCCTTTTCAAAGATCTTCAGGGGTGGAGCGTAGCCAGTGATGTTTTTCAGGCTTTTTCGTTGGCTGAAAACTGGTTTTTAAGCTTTTTGGAGTAGCTCCTCATTGTTATTCTGATCTCCTTTGTCAGTGTGTTCCTGGCCTGGCTGTACAGGATCCTGTCCCCAATTCTGTAGGCCTCCTCTTTGGAACAACAAAGCTGCCTGAGTTTTACTGTGATCCAGGGCTTATTGTTGTTGTCTATGCAGAAGGTCTTGGTGGGCACACACGTCCTTACAAAAGCTGATGTATATATAAAAAATAGTTTCCCAAATACCTGGAAAAAAGAAAATAATACTGTTAATCTTTTCCACAGTGGCACATACTTTCAAAACAATAACAAAGTGATGTACTTCAACAAAAATTAAGATTACCCATTTATCTTGATAACAGCCAACAGTAAAATAAATTCTAGCCTTTCTACAGTATAAAATGTTTCATTGGAAAGTATAAAAAATAAAAGAGAAAGGTTAACAGTAATAGCCACAATGTGCCTTTGATTTCCTGGATAATTATTTTTGGCGCAGATTAATGGATTAGGTGGGAACACGGTGTTTGAGTCATGACAGTATAACATAAATATAAAGAGGAAGACAAAGAAAAGGCTGAAACTAGGAGATTAGCCTACTTTACCCTTTGCATCTGGAAAGCGTTATGTTACAACCTAACCTGGTGAATTTTGACTGTATTTCATACAGTTATGAATAATCCCACTCTGGTTCGGTGTTTCCCCCATTAGCCTATATGTTGTTCTCCTCCAGTCCGGTAGGTAGCAGCACATTGACACCATTACACAAGTATCCAGCTAGAAGAGACGACAATGTACAGTAACAAGCTAGGAAAGGTTATTCTGTAGGTGAGTGGACTACAAAATAATCACTGCATGTTAGTAACTTAAAACTTACCAACGAAACAAAACACGCTTTACTGTGTTTAGTGATTAGCAAGCTCCCGGTGGCCTGCACGAGGACTGAAATAATGTGCGCACGAGCTCACTGAAAGCTAGTTAGCGGCGTATGCTTCGGCTCGTTTCAGCTTCAGCCAGAAGAATGTCAAGATCAGTCCAGCAGACACAGTCATTACATATAACGATGACAGAAAAACAGCACACAAATAAATGCTGGTATTAAAAGACTGACTTAACCAATACAGCTCTAACCCACGTTCCATAAATGTTATCGCCAGATGTTAAGCGTAAGCAAAACTACATGACTTCCGGGAAATCAACAAACGCATTTTAACAAAAATAACGTTAAATAAACCCCAGTTTGTGACTCTCGTACTGTCATTGTTTTAGAGTAACTATGGCAAAAACCTTAAATGTAAAAATAAATTTCATGTAATAATACACGAGCGATAAAACGGGGGCTAGAAATAAAGGCAGACTATTTAGAATTCTCGACCTTTTAAACAGCTTTAAGAGGTGATGTACAAATGAGATTACTCGTGTCAATAGCACAGTCAGCTATTCTCTAACCTTGATTATTTAACTCTGGGTGCATATTAATTAATTCACTCTGTATATGTAGGGATTTAAAAGAAATGGACGCTCAGGTGGTTTAAAACAGTCATGACACCAATGCAATGTTAAGGATGCCAGGTACCATAAAACCTGGAAGAAGAATTATTTCAGTCTGTTTACTGGTATTGATGATCACACCACAGTCATGACACACCGATTCTCCCACAAGATCAGTAATTTACAACGCTTCCTAACCTCACTTTGTTCTAGTGTTTTGGCAGAGCGCCACCATGCAAGGTTTAGTGGTCCAGGCTCTTGTAATGAGGCAGCTGAGAAGGTTGAACCTCCGCTATCTGCTGGCTGTTGGATGTGGACCAAGGCAGACTGAATGGTGCCCCAGGTCTATCCACACATGCCAGCTGTTGGGCTGCTCAGCTTTCCCTAAACCTGGCTGTCAGAGGGCTGCTTTGCATGGGAGAGATGTCACCAGGAGCTGGTTTCTTCATCCTGTGAGGCTTAAAAGCAAGAAGAGCAAAGGTGCTTCTAAGACAGCACAGGAGGAGGAGACAGAAGATGAATATGACAAAGATCCAGAGGACAGTGATTATGAGCATGAGGTGAATGAGGATCCAAATCTTCCTAAGGACTATAAAGATATGGAAAAATATGTGCAGTCCTTCCGGTATGATGTCATCATGAAAGCTGGCCTGGACATGGCACGCAAGTAAGTCTCAGTGTAAGTTCAGTACTCTTACAGATTTGAGATCTTTATAGCTGCTGGTCATCTTTATTGGAGTGCCACATGCACGCTTTTCCCCAGAACTAAGTAGAGTAACTTTATGTTATTGTATAACAGCAAAATTGAAGATGCCTTCTACAGCAACAAGCTCAGACTAAATGGACACAAACTCATCAAGAAAAGTAAAACGGTGAGTGATGTATGATTACAATAAACATTTTATTCATTTGTTGTAATTCTTATTTTTTTCTGTATTCAGGTGAAAGTTGGAGACACCTTGGACCTGGTACTGTCAGAGAACCAAGAAAAAAACACTGTTACTTTGATGAGAGTCATCATCAGGGAGGTTTTAGGCGAAACCAGTAACACAGAGAAGTACAAAATTGCCATAAGGCGCTGGAAATGTATTGCACTTCCCAAGGATGAGGCCTTAAAGCAGTGAACCTGATTATGATAGTACTGACTGTAATACCATTGAAGAGTAACACCAACAACACAGAGAAATGCTGGCATTTGAATGGTCTCCAACATTTTGCATCTAGAATGGGATTTCCCCACTATACTGTGCACCTCCCCTAGTAAACATGCACACATTTTGAAATCTGAAAATCATGTCCTGATGATTTGGTGGATGTGACATTTTCATACAGGTTTGTGAGTTTTTATGACTCCTTACCATAGGTATGCTCTGCGTTTCCTCCTATTTGTCTTATAAATCCCTATTGAATATGTTTTATGGCAGTAAAAGTACAAAATAAGCAGAACCAATGTTCATATTACATAGCACCCAAGTTATTTATGCATTCCTATGAGTGTGTGGTTAAAACTGAGCTAAGTTGAACAAACCTCGAAAAAATCTTTTTCTCTATTCTTTAAAATGTAAAACAGTTTTTTAAAGTTAGACCAATGGGGGGCAGCTGTGGCTTAGGAGGTGGAACAGGTTGCCTCCTAACCAGAGGGTTCGTAGTTTGCTTCTCTGGTCCACATGTTGAAGTGTCCTCAAGCAAGACACTGAACCCTTAGTTGCTCCCAGTAATATCACTGGTGTGTGAATAGGAAATAGTGTAAAGCGCATCATTGTGTAGAAAGGCGCTGTATAATTGTCCCATAAGTCATAATTAAGACACCTCAACGATTACAGTTGGGCGCTTTTATGCAAAATACTCTTGTCATATTTATAACTGATTTTATTAGAAATAGGCTATCATGATCTGCAGTCATGTTAAATTGTCTTTGTAATATAAACTTCTATAAGAAGGCTTAACATAAGCACGTTATTAAAACAGTGGTGGCACAATGCTACATCAGTAACTGCAATGGAAATATCACATCTTTGTGATTCAGTTCTGTCCATAGAGCAAATGTGTGACCTATGCTACTAGCTACTATCATTGCTATTGTTTTTAAGGCTACAACATTTATCACCAAAGTTTGTTAGATAAGCTATGACAGTTATTGGCTTATAAATAGAAGCACTTTTAACTCTTGATCCAACAATAATAAGACTACATAACGTACAACATCTACTGTTGTAGTCCAAAGGTAAAATGCTAAGAATAGTACAGAAGAAACTCATAACAGCTTGGTTTCATCCTCCATAAGCCAGTTTGTAAAAGTTCAACATATATACACACGGACAAAATTATTGGTACCCTTCCCTTAAAGAAAGAGAAACTCACAGTGATCAGTGAAATAATGTGAAACTAACAAAAGTAGTAATAAATAAAAAATTACTGAAAATTAACTAATGAAAATCAGACATTGCTTTTGAATTGTGTTTCAACAGAAGCATTTAAAAACTAATGAAACTGGCCTGGAAAAAAATGAAGGTACCCTTAACTTAATATTTTGTTGCACAACCTTTTTAGGCAATCACTGCAAATCAAGCGATTTCTGTAACTCTCAATGAGACTTCTGCACCTGTCGATAGGTATTCTGGCCCACTCCTCGTGAGCAAACTGCTCCATCTGTCTCAGGCTTGAAGGGTGCCTTCTCCAGACTGCATGTTTCAGCTCTTTCCACAGATGTTCAATAGGATTTAGATCAGGGCTCATAGAAGGCCACTTCAGAACAGTCCAATGTTTTCTTCTTAGCCATTCTTGGGTGTTCTTAGCTGTGTGTTTTGGGTCGTTATCCGGTTGCAGGACCCATGACCTGCGACTGAGACCGAGCTTTCTGACACTGGGCAGCACATTTCGCTCCAGAATGCCTTGATAGTCTTGAGATTTCATTGTACCCTGCACAGATTCAAGACACACTTTGCCAGATACAGCAAAGCAGCCCCAGAACATAACTGAGCCTCCTCCATGTTTCACAGTAGGTACAGTGTTCTTTTCTTTGTATGCATCATTTTTGCATCTGTGAACATAAGAGCTGATGTGACTTGCCAAACAGTTCCAGTTTTGTCTCATCTGTCCAAAGGACATTCTCCCACAAGCTTTGTGGCTGGTCAATATGGATTTTGGCAAATTCCATTCTCACTTTTTTATGAGTTGCTTTCAACAGTGGAGTCCTCCTTGGTCATCTTCCATGAAGTCCACTGTGGCTCAGACAGAGACGGATCGTGCGATCTGACACTGATGTACCTTGACCTTGGAGTTCACCTCTAATCTCTTTGAAAGTTGTTCTGTGCTCTTTGGTTACCATTCGCATTATCTGTGTCTTTAATTTGTCATTAATTTTCCTCTTGCGGCTACGTCCAGGGAGGTTGGTAACAGTCCCTTAAACCTCTGAATAATATGTGCAACTGTAGTCACTGGAACATCAAGCTGCTTGGAGATGGTATGATAGCTTTTTCATGTTTGTCTATAATTTTCTTTCTAATCTCCTGAGACAACTCTCTCCTTAGCTTTCTGTGGTCCATGTTCAGTGTTTTACACACCATGATACCAAACAGCACAGTGACTACTTTTCACCCTCTAAATAGGCAGACGGACTGATTACAAGTTGGAAGACACCTGTGATGCTAATTAAAGGACACACTTTAGTTTAACATGTCCTTATAGTCAAATTATTTTCAATCTTTTCTAGGGGTATCATCATTTTTGTCCAGGCCAGTTTCATTAGTTTGTTTTTTAAAATGCTTCTGTTGAACTACAATTCAAAAGCAATGTCTGATTTTCATTAGTTAACGTTCAGTAATTTTTAATTTATTACTACTTTTGTTAGTTTCACGTTATTTCAGTGACCATTGTGAGTTTCTCTTTCTTTAACGGAAAGATACCAACAATTTTGTCCATGTGTGCATACTGTGCAGTTATTTGAATGACAAAAAGTGCCTGACTGCAAAGTACTGTAACTAGGACACAGTGCTTGACCTCTTGGCCTTCTTAAGAATGTCACACTTCTTGCGATTAGGGCGCCGGCAGCGTTCATCGATGCTTGGCACACATTCATAATGCCACACCTCCTCCATCTTATCCACAGGATACACTGCTTCCACATAGTGACGGATCAATCTGAGGCGCACAGGGTCAAGCTGCTTCTTGTTGCAGGCTCCTGAATGGTTGTACTGCAGCCGCAGGTTCTCCTGGGTGAAGAGCTCAGGGAAGAGGCGCACCAACAGGCGGGCGGCAAAATTCCCAACAGAGAGACTCTGCTGGACAATTTCCCGTACCTCAGTGTCTGAGAGTAGGTAGGCAGAAGGTACAGGGAAGTCAGGTTTGGACACAGTCAGTTCATCCAAGGGAATTTTGCAAAAGTCTTTGCTACTTCTCTCAGGTGGTAAGGAGGGAATATCTGGGTCCTCTCTAAAATTCTCTGGATTGAGCTGGTTCAGCTGGCAAAGAAAGTCCTGCTCTGACTCTTGACCATACACTTTGCGTTGCTGCAGGTAGGATCTCCTCTGCTCTGTGTCACGTCTCCTGCACCGCTCATCAAGTTTGCCCACAAATTCTAACATCCACACTCTGTCATTCTTTGCCCGGGGGTACACTAACTGCACATAATGACGAATCAGGTTTATGCGCACAGGGTCAAGCTGCTTCTTCCCAAGAGAACCACTGCAGTTGTACTGCTTCCTTATGTTCTCATGGGTGAAGAGCTCAGGGAACATAAGCACCAATAGCCGAGAGGCAAAGTTCCCAATGGACAAGCTACATTCATAGTTGTTCTTCAGCTGTTCCTGGGACAGCAGGTACTCCCGGGGAACACTAAAATCAGGTAGAGGAATCTCCAGATTGTCAAAATCAATGGGTGTAAGCAGCAACTTTTTGGATTTGCGATTGGGTCTTTCATGCTCCCCCATCTCTGGAACCTTAACAATAGAAACATCTTCAGGAAGGCTGGCCAAGTCATAGCTCTCATCATTGATATTGTCAGGTTCACTTCCATTGCCACTACTGTGAGGACTCTCAAGCGCATCCTCCATATGCTGAATGCACACCTGGAGCCAACTGTCCTCAGGCACCTCAGGAAAATTTGTTTCCATATACTTTCTTATTATTTCCATCTTGTCAGAGTCCAGAATCAGCTGCCCCACACTGCTAAAACTGCTGGAGCCATCTGGCATTTTGCCCTCTTCAAAAACCTCAGGGAAGAGACGGTGCATTAGAAAAATAACAAAGTCCTCAGGGGAGGAGAACTCATCCAGCTCCTCTGTGGTATTCAAAGCAAGATCTGACACAGCCAGGTTGCTCTGCTGGTTATCTAGAGAGAGGTGCTCCTCTTGACCCTGTTCATTAATGAAACAATAGGTTTGTGGATGCTCAGCTTTTATCACAGCACCTGTGACTGTCTGCTTTCTGAGTAGCCGAGCATCCTCCATGTCCCTCTGGGCCCAGAAGTGATTAAAGAAGTCATTAATCTGATGGAGGCATTCTTCCTGCCAGACACTGTTATTCTTGACCAAAGGGTAGCATACTTCAATATAGTTACGGATTAGCTGCAGATGTAGTGACTCCAGTGTTCTCTTGCTTGCCATACAGTCATGAGAACACTCCCTCGCTTTGAACAGCTCTGGGAAAAGATGCACCAGCAGCTGACATCCAAGCTCCCCAGCACTGGATGTCTGCTCCATCAGCTGATTTAATTCATCACTTGTTAGCAGATACTCTGGAGGAGGCTGGAACTCTGTCACCATCTCAGCTGGTTTGATCTGCTTCTTTATTCGCATTACTTCAAGGGTTAACAAGTCCACTTTGCTATGCAGTTGTGTCATGTTTGAATTAAGGGTATTGAGAATAAAAAACATTTTCTCAATCAGTGGATAAAGACTAGAATTTGTTGTTGAAGCCTGGCCTAGACTGTCTGTGATTGGAATGTCCTCCAGTGGACAGTTTTCCTCTGGACTCTGGAGCTTAGATGAGAGGACACTACTGTAGCTGAGCTGGTTCCCGGCACCATGACTGGCCTGCTGCTCCATACTTGGTGTGTTCCTCTTTTCTGATATCCTGTGAGAGATACTGAAGAGAGGCTTTCGGTAGGATGCCCTGGATTTCTCCTGGATGTAATCCTCTCCAGTTGTGGTGAGGCAAAGAGGCTCATGTCTGCTGCTCTCATCTATCAAGTGCCTCCTCATCTAGACATAACATTCAAAACACACAGTGGCTTTAGAAGGTATTCAGGCCCTTTCACATTTTACTGTGGTGTAGATTTAATTTTAAATGGATCAGACTGGAATTTTTGCCTATCAGTCTACACTCAATATTTACAGTAGGAATAGATGTCGACACACGTGCCTACTTCACCTCAGCCACAATAATTATCGCAATTCCAACTAATTAACGCATGACAAAGTGAAAACATGCTTTTTGATTTTTTTGTGAATCTAATAAAAATCAAAAACTGAAATGTCTCATTTACAAAAGTATTCAGACCCTTTGCTGTGGCACTCCAAACGGGGGTCAGGTGCATCCTCTTTACTTTAATTCACCTTGAGATGTGTCTAGAACTTGACTGGAGTCCACCTGTGACAAACTGAGCTTATACAATAGACATAATATGCAAATTGTTCACTTTGGACAATACTACTTTAGATCAAATGGTCTGAAGTTAGCTTACCTCACCAGAGACTCTGGCTCTTTTGCTGCTGGTGGACTGGTTTGTGTCACATCCCATCTTTGCAGATGACCGTTTTCCAGCCTCAGTTGCCCCAGGGCATCCTCCATCAAGTCCTTCAGGTGACTCACAAATAGCAAACTCGTCTGTCTCCTCCTTAACATCCTGGACATGCTTGTGTTCTGCAAATAATGAAGGATTTATGTTTCCTTGTTAAAGCATTTGTGGTTGGCCTAACATTTGTAAGCAATTAGTAACCTACACATGAACAGAACAGTTGACATAAATATATTTTAGCTGGTTACCTTACATGCCACAACTTTATAAAATTAAAATTAATAAACTTTATAAGCTTTAAAATGATTTTTGAGCTGAATTGTATGCATGTTCCATCCTGCCATGCTCACTGATTAATTTCAGACATCACATTTAGGTATTTTTGTTTGGGTTGTAGAATTTACCTTTCTCAAGCATCGTGTCAACTGAAACTTCTCCATGCTCAGAGAAATTCATAGCCTGGAGGAAAGAAAATGTCACAGATATTTGAAAATATGTCTAATGTGGATCAGTAATACAATTTAAGTCCACATCCGAAGGGCAAGGAACAGTCAATCCAAACGAATCAAGCAAACGATACTTATTTTTCCAAACACAATGAAGTTGGAATCGCAACACTAGATCAACAATGGTTTTATTAAAGTATGCTTAAAGCATTCTATCAGCAAATAGCACACAGTAAAATTATAGTGTGTGGATACATTTATCAATGTCAAATTCTCCATGTGAGTTTGCAACTGTGGTGGATGGGATGCTACCATCAGCTGCTTAACTCGTACTGGTATGCAGTTTAAAGCTGATCGAAACATCTTCCATAATGCCAACTGATTCCCTCTTACAAATAAAAAGCGTGTACATTGTTTTGGTTGAACCCCAACTGTACATGCCAGCAGACAGGGTTGCCTCCTAGCTCTCCTCCAGCCTTTAATAATCAGCTACTTCCTCATTCTTCCGCCCAAGAATCCTTGAACCGAAACACAAGTTAAACCAGCCGTGAGAATGCAACTCTTTACAAAGCCGCGTTGACATTTTAACAGCAAAGCACGTCATTGTGAATATCAATGTACAACATTTTCCATGTAGTGCAACGTTTTGTTTGCGAAATTTAATGACGAGGCAATATTTGCGTGGACCAGCCCCCCCCCACGTTCTGACTCTTGGTAAATTAACGGTAAATGCGCGTGACCGTCGGTTTGAGCTCACCTTCACGAGTCCACGCGACCCTTCATGACTATTAACGACATGTTGGACATATCTGCGCTGTGTCACGGTGATTTCTTTACAGGCAGCTGCTTTTCTTGTTATTTTTTTTCTCGCTCCGCTTCTGTGCTTTCTCGCGTGACGTGACAGGGCGCGCGCCTGCTGTGTCACTTCCGCACAGCTGTGGAGCGCAGAAAGAAATAAAGCAGGCTGTTGTAACACGACTAAATGAAACACCTTTACAGTTAAACTTTCATTATTATATAGCCTAAAACACTGGCCGTTCCGTAAAGTGTTTATTTACGAATGTCTTTGTGTTCAGCCTCACACTACACTGTGGCAGATACTGTAGCTCCACATATATACATGATGCGATATATTTGTTAGTTTAGTTTAGTAAACAAAGGCAGCTGCCTACATTTTGACGTATTTTCTCCTAGTGCACACTCCTCTATGCAACTGGCTGGAAATATTTGCACCTGTTTATTGTATAGAATGTTTATTCAGTGATGAAAATTAACATACAGTAGTAGCCTATGTTTACTACTGTGCTTATTTACAATTGGGCATTTGTACTTTACTTTTGTGGTGCTAGTCCATGAAACTTTAGAGAGAAATAGGCCTACTGATGCAATATCATCCATCGTTATACAGTAAACTAAACTATCTAAATGTAGTCTATATAAAATTAGCTACATCTTGACCAACTAGAACTTTAAAATGTATATGTATTGATGCATTTGTGCAAGAAGCTGTACAGGCATAAATTGAATACTTCACTTGCACATACTGTATATACATACCTGTACGCAGCACTTGCATATATATGCATACTGTCATGCATATACACACATACACAGCCATGCATGTATATGAATGTGAGAATCGATAAATGTGAGTGTATAATATGTGAGTGACAATTAATATGTGTGTGCTCAAGTATGTATGTATTTGAAAGGCACCATACTTTAAATGGAAGTTGCTACCACAACATGGTGCTACAGCGATGGCTCGTGCATGAAGTGCATCTGTGACTCTTAATCCTGATGGCATTTGATAGTAAGTGATATTAAAAGCAACTTTAATATATATAGCCTAGATGGTGGATAGGCTGTTGCTAATGATCCACTGTGCAGCCTTTACCTGCAGTGACTGCCTCTCTGCAGCATACATACAGTACTTAGAAGGTCATAGGTCACTCAAAATATTTTTTAAATTATTTTGCTACATTTATGTGGTCAAATAAATTGCTTTAGACATTTTGAAGGTGACCCAACGCTTTAGATGCAGTGAATTTATCAGCTGATACTGTAAATGGAATGAAAGAAGCCTGACTTCATGTGCAACTTCACCAATTCTCTCACCAACAAAACACAGACATTATAGAAATAGTATGATTTCATACAGAAGGGATGTTTTGCTAGTTTGGATAAACATCATTTCATTTTTACTTCCATTCGAATGCTTTCCCATTCTTTGGCACATTTAACTGTGTATTACCGACTATCATAGCACAGTAGCTGACCACAGCAAAAGAGTAAACTTCAGCTTGTCTCTGAACAAAATTTCTACATTTTATAAATAGTGTGAAAGTGAAGATGAAGGTGAAGATATGATCTGAAGCAAATGGTGATCTGCTAAGTGGAACTGGACATTTCAGTGAACTGCATCAGTACAAACACTGTCATAATACAGTTGTACAGAGAAATTAAACAGTTGAACAAAAATACAATGTTAGCTGCACAGTGTCCACCCAAATGCAGTCTTTAAACATGTGTAACTTATGTGAGTTATTTGCACAGAAAAGTGTCTCTTCTTTTCAGTGTCCTTGTGTCCATGTCTTTTACAATGAAGTTTAGTTTTCAGTGTGGATGGTGTCAGAGCTGGGAGGCCAGGTGTTGAGTCAGCTGACCTGTGTTGCTCTTGCTGGGCCAGGTGTGCTCACAGGTGACTGTGTGGAAGCTGCCTCAGTGTAGTGCTGGCCAACAGGTCCACAAAGGAACACCTGCTGTCTCTTTTCCAGGTGTGAGGGGAACATTATCTTCACCGCTGACAGAGCAGGACTCCTCACACTGGTGGCAGCATGGGTGTTGAATGGTTACTATTATTCAGCCAGCACTAACAGACAAGAAACAAAACAAGTATAGTGTTAAGTCAAATGGAAAAATATGTCATAAAAGTGAACATCAGTGTAAAATAATTTGTGCATAATCACCCATATACATAATGTCAGTACATTAAAACATATCTCATTATAGCCTGCTGCTGAATGAACGCTGTTCAGTGCCCAGATTGGTAGCTTTAATAACTGCAAATAGTCTACTGCAAGACAACCGTTTTAGATTAACTGGAGCCTTGTTGCAGAGCAGTGTTTCACTAATGTAATGACAACACTGACTAACCAAAACATACAGTACTTTGGGAATGAGCTAAATTTCTGCTCTCAGGTATTGACAAAAGTCATGATAATATTAAGGGTCTAACCTAAATAAACAGGGGAATGCTAACAACTAACTTACTTTTTCACTGGGCTCCTTGTGTCAGCATCACATCTTGCACCCAGGATTTATAATGTTTGAAATCTGGCACATTAAAAGTTACTTTACTATGACCCAGCACCAGGTACAGTAAGTGGTCAGGTGTTAACAAGCTTGCTAGTTGGCTAAGGGTCTCCAAAGGAGATCCCGATCGTCAATTACACAAGCTTGATTTAAATATATCTAGGCTATATATATTCAATTTACCTTTAATATTACTATCTGTCAAAACACAGCCATCAGGCTGCAAGAGTCACAGAACTGAACTTCATGCACGAGCCATCGCTGTAGCGCCACACAGTGATAGCAACTTCTGGTTAAAGTATAGTGCCTTCCAAATATGTACATGCATACTTGAGACACTTATATTCATTCTCACATTCATATGCATGGCCGTGTATGTATGCATATGACTGCTTCATACCAGTACATATGTATTTGCAAGTGCAAGTTGTGCCTATATGGCTTCTCATACATTTGTACTACTGTATAACTATATTAAATAACAATTAAACTTTGACAGAAATTATTTTACCCAAATAATTTGTTTAAAATTTTGCTGATAAATGTTTATATAGCCAATATTTCATAGCACAAATGATCACATAAGTTCACTAATGTCATGAAACATAAAATGAGATGTGATAATATGAGAAATGTGATGTACATTGCTATATGCACTGATGTCATTATAATAATCACAACTATACCTTTAAAATGATATTATTGGTATATTTATGGGTGGGATATGAATAATTTATTGTATATAATTTGGTTATTAATTGTGTAATTGTGATTTCTGGCTAGAAGGAATGCAGTGATTCAGGGCCGCGGGAATTTAACCAGTGTAGCTGTTTAGCTTAACACTTGATTTGGGTTAATCATAGTTTGGATTATCGGGGGTAGAACTAGATAAGTATTACTTCTTTCTACTCCTTTGCAAGCATGTAATGATCATTTATCATCATGAGACATTTTTTTTCCGCTTTTCTTTTTTGGGTTTTCTCTGGTTGTTTTGAGGTATATATTGATTATGATTTCTTTTCCCTTATCTGTTTTATTATATGCTTGGAATTAATAAAAAAAAATACTGTGCATTGTAAATTATTCATAAGGATTACTGGTATATTTTTAGACTGAGCGGTAGTGATTAGTGCTGATAGTGGAGCAAAACAGCCTTGATTTTCCCATAAATGTGATTTATAATGGTCTCCTCAGGAACTGTGCTAGAAGAACTATACAGTATATTCACAATATCTGGCCTGATGCCAGTTATAGTAAAATGATATAGAGAAGCCCATATTACTAGAAAGCTATGAATTTATGCTAGTACTATATGGAATAACACATTAGCAGGAGAATAAGGTTTTCAGGTTATTTAAATAGTTATTAATAGACATCAGCATAGCCTTGTATACCAACCATTATGTCAAGTCAAGTCAAGAATATTTATTGTCATTATGCATAGCACAATGAAATTTTTTCTGGCAGCTCTCGGATTAAAAGACAGACATATTATTTGCATAACACACAATTGTATAAGTCATTATAAAAATATGAACAAATTAAAAGTGATGTATGGGACCTAATCAGGTCAGCAGCATGTTAGCAGCAAGAGTTTAGTAACATTATAAGGTGCAGCTCAGTGCAAATCTCAGTCTTTAGGAGGAGGTGTGAGGTCCAGTGTTCTGTGTCTGTCTATAGGGGGGAGGTTGTGTATGTGACTAGGGGTTGAGGGGGTGATTGATTTCACAGCTCTGGGGAAGAAGCTGTGTCTCAGTCTGGGTGGGTGGGGTCTGCGGCAATCCGTCCTGCCCTCCTCTGGATCCGGTCAGTATATAGTGAGTCCAGATCCAGAAGAGGACTCCCTACGATGCCCTCAGCTGTTCTCACCACCTGGGTCAAGTCCTTTCTGTCCTGTGCAGTGCAGCTCCTGTACCACACTGTCACACTGAGACAGAGGATGCTCTCTACTGACGCTCTGTAGAAGTCTGTGAGCAGACGAGAGGAGAGACCAGCATGTTTCAGCTTCCTGAGGAAGAAAAGTCTTTGCTGGACTTTCTTCACTGGGTAGGATGTGTTCAGAGACCAGGTCAGGTCAGATGTGGTGTGGATGCCCAGGGATTTGATGTTATCCACTTGCTCCCCCACCTCCCCGCGGCT